TTGTGCTACTCTGAAAAGGCTGCCTGCCTTGAAGGAACAATTATAGTTTTGCCACACTGCTTCAAAGCTACCGCACTCTGAAACAAGTGATTTGAAAGCTTTTTATGTGAATCAGCTGGCACTTCAACCCACAGCTGCCTTGCACTGGAACTGAATGACTAGCCGGCAAGCAACTTGAATGTGATGGCTAGCTTGGGTTTGATTGGATTAATTATCTGGCACAGCTACAGATCTGAGCAAATTGTCCACTTCATGAAGTCCTCATATATGAAAATAGTAATAGAATGATAGACGCCACCCAAGGAAAACTGTTTGCCTCACTGGAAAGTGTTTCTTGTAGGTTCTTGGATTCTGCAATGTACTGGTCTATTTTAACTTGGAACGGGAACGTATTTTTATTTCCAGGGACCTGAATTCTGGTGAACAAGGCCCCATTGTAAGCGGCCAAGCTTAGTTCATTGGAAAGAGCCCGTGCCTCTGTGTTCTTATGCCATGATGCCAGGCAACTTGAAAAGATTCAAGAAGTCCAGCCAGAGTTTCCAAGAAGCCCAGTGCTGAAGGGACCACAGGATTTCTACATAGATCACTGGCGCTCCATTTGCCATTCAAATGACTCCTCTGGCTTAGTGGCTCAAACAACAAAGAGTTGTTTTAACTATCGCTGGATTTAACCCTGCATTGGATTTCTTTTTTAAACTGAGCAAGCCCAGTCAGAAATCATCAGCAAACAGTATCACATGCCACGTAATCTCAGCCATGAACATATTGCCACATAAAGCCTCAGATCTGCAGTTGGGCAACACAGAGCCATAGGCACATAATATGTATCCTTCTGCTTTTTTAAGGTGCCTGCAGCAGCTACGGCGCACCAGAGGAGTCACATTCCACAAGCTAAATGTGACCCTTCTTATGCTCCAAAGCTACTAGGAGTGCCCTTTTCTTTTGCAAAAATTACTTTATCCTCCATGGGTGCGCTACGCTGGGATAAAAAAATGACCCCTGGAGCTCTGCTAGCTGCCCACCCCTGCTCCAAAGCAACATGGCTTCCATTATTTTTTAAATGAAATCTTGTTCTGTGATCATGAGGACACGAGTCTTCCTGAATATGAAGTAGGTTGAGCCGGAAAGAGATGGTACCCTCTTACTCTTGCAAGCATTAAGCATGCAGTCAAACGTCTGGCTGTGTGCCTGACAAAAGAATGGCAACAGAGATCTCTCGGCAATTTTTGTTTGCTTGATCTCTTCGTGAGCTAGCTCTAGGCACTGCTTAATTACTCGGAGGGAAGCACCAATGTTGTGTACAAGGCTCCTGCAAGTACAGGAAAAGAACCCGCTGCCTCTTATCTTGGTTGGGAGCCGGCACGCAATGAGACGTCTTACTGTGGTTAACAGCAGAAGTGAAAGAAGAGATGATGGTGGATGAATTGCCTTGGAAGTGACCCCCCTGCCCTCAATCTCAGTTCATTTCATCTTCCCTAACATGCCACTTAATCCATTTCGGTTGTGTTTGCTCCTCTAACCGGATCTTATATTCCTAGACTATCGTGGGCTCCCTCATTGGAGCTGTCGTGCTTACAACCATCAGGATGGAAAGTTTCCAACCACGTTTCACGGCATGCTGCTCAGGAGGCCAGAAGAAGAGGCAGCAGAAAGACAACATTGCATCCATTTCATACTTCTTAGCATTTCGGATCCATGTTACTCAAATGACTGCCTTTGCCAGTATGAAGGATTAAGAGTATTAAGATTAGTTATAGAAGCCATCCGGGGAGTCAGGTGAGGGGGGCAAGCATGAGAGTGCCTTTTCAGTGGTGGTCCCAAATTTAGGAAACTTCCTCCCTCAAGAGGTATACTCTGCACCCTCCTTTTTGCTTTTTAGGCAGCCCCTTAAACATGCTTCAGGCTGAAACAGTATTCCAGGCTGCTTGTGAAAAGAAGCATTTTGTTCTTCGTGAACCTGTGGCTGACTGAACTAGAATGAAACAATCTGATGGTATTGGGGGTTTTTTTTACTGCATAAAGTGTGCATTCTGTTGCTCAAAAGAGAACAATGCGTTGAAGGCATCATTATTCTGGTAATGGCAATGCATATTTTCCCTTCATGAATGTAATAAACGTGGATGTTAAAAGCATCCTCTTATCCTCAGCCCAAATTCTTTTGCTGTCTCCAAAAGGACCGACTTTTCATGCTAGCAAAGGACCAGGTTATGCATACATGTTAGATGCATGTCTTCTCCTTGTGACCCAACATCCCTGCTGTAGGAGTAGCTGGACAATTATTCTCAGTCACCTGGCAGTGAAGCACACGGTGTTGACATCTTCTCAGAATTTGGATAAAGCAGGGCTGCTAAATCTCTTTTAGTTCAAGGGCCAAATTTCAGAGAAGCGCTTGAAGGTATCATCACAGTCCTGGGAAGGGCTGAAGGCAAAAGTGGAAGGGCTGAAACAACAGCAAACTGGAACTTAAAGGTGTTACTGCTAGGAACGAAACTGTAGGAGAGCCGTTTCAACCTCTTAGCCTGGGGGAGAAAACTGCACAAAAGCCAGGAAACCAGTAAGTGATGGGGGACCAGGAGGTGGAAAACACTGGGCAATGTGGGAAATGCATCTCAACCATGTAGAGACTCCAGGAGGGCCGGTCTGGGACCCCAGACTTGAAGTTTAGCACCTCTGGTATAAAGCATGTTCCATAAATCACCATTTATTCACTCCCTAGAAATGAATGGAGAGTGACTATAAGAATAATGGCGAGGCCCAGAAGTGGCCATGGGAATGTGCTTCCTGAACTTTGGCATGATGGTTGCTGCACCAATAATACTATAAGGCTGTTGCTAAATCTTATGGCAGTGAATTCCCAAGTTTCAACGCAGCCTGTCACAGTCCTTCCTTCTAACTGCCTTCAATCTCCCACCGATCAGTTGATGCACATAAGGAGATGCCTTGTGGGATCAGACCAAGGGTCCATCTAGCCCAGCATCCTGTCCACACAATGGCCAGCCACCTGCCTACGGAAAGCCCATAGGCAGGACACAAGTGCAACAACACTCTCCCACCCATGTTCTCCAGCAACCAGTATTTCATAGGCATCCTGCCTCCATCCTGATAGTGGAGGTAGCCCTTGATGGCCTTCTCCTCCAGGAAATTGTTCAGTTCCTTTTTAAAGCCGTTCAAAATGGTGGCCTCCACTAGATCAAGTCGAAGGGAATTCCATAATTGGACTGAATGCAGCTTGAGAAGCTCTGTGGGATGAGAGGCATGGGGGGTGGGGGGACGGCCTTCCTAGCCACTTTTAAAAAATGGTGACCTTGGCCACTTTCCAGTCCTCTGGTGCGGAGGCTGCTCTCAGAGTTAGAAGATAAGAAGGACAGAGATCGCATCTTCCTGTTTCCAAGCAAATGTTGTGGCAACAAATAGCAGGCATGTGGTAGTTGTTTGATAAGAAACGGGAGCAAGGGCCAGCGTGATCATGTCCCTGCCACCCACATCACAGCTTTCCAGTAGCAACTGCCCTGCCTGTTACTCCTGTCTGGACGGACGGACACACTTCCATGTAACTCTGCCATTTGGACTTTGCCTCCTTCTCATGCAAATTTCAGCAGCAGATCACATGGAAATCAGCCCTGGGATAACCCCTCTATGCAAATTTTAAAAAGGGTGTTGCTGCTGATGGCAAGAGCAAAGAGGTACTGAAAATAGATACTGTCTGTCTGAATAAATAATACTGATTTCCTTAATTGCCAGGTGCTATCAGTATTAACTTGTGAATGTTCCGTGTACAATGGTAACTTGACATGTCTATAAATAAGTTAGTGAGGGTGGAATCCAGTGCCCTCTGTGCTCAATGAATATAAGGCTCTGAACTCAGAGGTTTACAGGCACCCAGTGCACAGGACAGATCCCCCCTCCCCCAAGATACCTCTTTTCCTCTCCGGGGCCAATTTCTGATCCCTTTGCACTCGGACTGCAAGAGGGGCCAGACAGGAGCTCTGCCTCTGGAGCCTCAGCTCTGAGATTGCAGGATCTTGGAGGTGACACTCTGCATAATCCTGCGACTCCACCTCCCGTCCCGCATGCACAATGCCAGGAGACCCTAAGACTCTTCCTTTAAGGTGCTGTCCGATTCACGTTCGGACAGAAGAAGGTCCTACAAGTCCAGCAGGCCCCAGAGCTGGAGGACTTCTTCTTGTTTAAACATGCATCAGATTGCATCTTTATTTAATATGAGAGAGGAGGCGGGTATCCACGCCTATGTACATAATTACAAAAAAACCCAACCCCCTCCCCCACAGAAATGGTGTGTTGGTTCAGAGTCATAAACCAGTGATAGGTCACACACTCTGCATGCAGGAAGTCTCAGGTTTAACCCCCAGTATCTCCAGGAGGTGCTAGGACAGACCCCCATCTCAAACCCTGCAAAAGCTGTGGTGTGTCAGACAACAGTGATTAGATGGAACGATGGTCTGACTCAGTGGCTGGGTCCAGACAACACAATCACCCACACTCAAGGGTGGTGTATGGCTCAAGTGTGGGTTGTTGTCAAACCTTGAATGAAGTGTTGCTGAAATGTGGTAACCCGCCCCGCCACCAACAATTCATAACCCAACAACAAATCATAGGTTCCCTTCATTGGCTGTTAGTGGTGAACAAACCATGGCTTGTTATTGCAGCTGGGTTCAGACAGCACAATGACCAATATTCCAACAACAACCCACAGTTCAACAACAACCCACACTCAACCTTACTTAGCCCTTGAGTGTGGGTTATCGTGTTGTCTGAACCCAATGAGGCAGCTGTCTATGTACGATGGGTGAGCTGAAGGTATACCTCTGGGTGATTTGCTGCAGGTTCCCCATCTGTCTACAAGTAACCACAAAATGGTTACCCCACCTAAATTATAGTCCTTAAATAAAGCAAGCAGAAAAGAGGGAGAGGGAGAAAGAAAAGGAGGGCAGGGGATTTTGTGTGGAAAGTGCCATTCAGTTGTGGGACCCAGAGCACAGTTTTGGGACTCAAAATTCTTTAATTGGAAGTGTACAATGTTCGCACCTGCAAAAGTAGTTCCAACAAGTGTCATGCAAGTTTCCTCTTCTTCAAAGGAGGGAGCTCATGGTTAATTCCCAAGGCAACTTCCTCCTTCCAGCGTCTGTCCCAGGGTGTAAAAACAGCAGCAAGGAGAGATATGACTGTTGAAGCACAACAAAGGCGTACTTCTACTACCTTCTCGTCAATCACTCATCACATCTGGGAGGTTCCTTGGGAGTTGTTCCGGTTTCAGCAAGTGCTGTAGCAGCCCGGGCATACTGACAAGTGTCCAACCCGGAAAGGAGTTTCTCAAAAGCAAATGAGCCTCTTTTCACTTTCAAAGGCTTTCGCCTCCTCTTGGCTTATTGGGTTTCCGTTTAAGCTGTTGGGAGGTGGAAAGAGGAAAAAAAGATCCTAAAATGAAGCAGCTGTTTCCGCAGGAGTCTGTTTTTCTTCCCATTGCCTATAGGTTGGATTCAGATTTAGCTGCAGTTATATTAGATTCACTGAAATCAATGGGACCGAAGTTAGCCATCACTAAATTAAATTAACTTTGATTGCAATGGGCTTGCTCTGAGTAAACTTGTTTTTGTAAGAGGCCAGGTTTGTCTCTGACCCTGCTTTCTTCAACCTGGTGCTCTCCAGTCGATAACTCCCTTCAGCCTCAGCTAGCACACCTGCAAATTGGGGCTGATGGGATTGGTTGTCCAACACAACTATAGGACACCAAGCTGTGGAAGGCTATTCCGGTCTCTGTGAAGAAGTGAAAAGCACCCGCAGAACTCTAACAATTTTTCTTATACTGGAATTGTTCATCCAGGATCAGCGAAAAGCTAAAAATATGGACGCTGACAATTTTTCAGCCTCAAGAGGAAGATTGGACTTTTCCATTTTTTTTCCTTTTTGGCATGGTTGGTTGCTATGATATGAGCCTAACGGAACAGAATCAAAACATGATGTCTGTAGTTTGGCTCAAAGCTTTTTATGGAGCTAAACTGAACTGAACCTAACTAGCAAGCGCTTACAAAGAGTGGCACTGAGGAACCGTGTCCTGCAAGATTTCAGGAGATGCTGCTTTTTGCTTGAATGGGAAATGACAAAGACGCGTTGTGCGCAACAGTCATGTGAAGATGCATGTCAAGGCGGCAGCCTCCGGTCAAAGGGGCAGATCCAGGGTTTGCCTGTTTGCAGAGGGTGCCTTGCCTGATACTGGGGGGGCCTCCTTTCCTCCACAGCTCACTCGATTCAGCAGGATCTCCTGACTCTCTCTAAAGCATTTTCAGGAGGTGGGGGGGGCACTATGGGCAGAAGTGGGGCAAGAAAGGCCACTTCTGTCAGCCTACTTGAGTGTACATGAACCTGTCAATCCAAACGAAAGTGGGTACCTTTGCCGAGGATCCCCGCACACACGCATGCACGCTCACCCTTTATTTTTCACCTTTGAGCAGAATTAGTCCACTTGGTGCAACTTTGGCTGAAGGCACCCAAAACATCAAAGCCACACTTTGGAAAGCCGCCTTACCAGATTTCTTTCAGAGCTGTATTGTCCTGGAGAGCATCAGCCAGGCACTTGGCTCCTCTGGCAGTAATCTGATTCTGGATAAGCCTAAAGAGAGAGAGAGAGAGAAGACAAGCAAAGCACCGTGTTGGACCAACGCTTATGTTTGTGCCTGCTTGCAGCGCCCTGTCTGTCACGCACTTGGCTTGGCCATGGTGTGTCTGAGGTGGAAAATCAACACTCCTTTCGTTGAACAGGCTGGTGGCTTGCCAGGAACCGGCTGGTTTCTGATTTCCATCTGCATGGATGGCCTGCTTGGCATCAGACAATTCCCCCACCCACAGAAGCGCAGCCAAGAGGCTCCGAGCCTCTTCAGACTAAAGTGCGCAGGACGTCTTTCAGGGTTACTGAGCTTAGTTGTTCAATGGACCACACAGCTGCTCCCCGATCGTAGGAAACCAGCTGCCTGGGGGATTATTTGTGCTGGATCCAAGCTACTGATGTGGAAGGCAATTGATGAGCCGCTTTAGCCTGGCCCAGCACCAATCGGGAGATGGCATGAAGGGACCTTCGCAGCGAGAAGAGCCAACTGCTGCAAAGAGATGTATTTGGCTCATTTTCCCTTGCCTGAGCTGAAATTTGCCTGAGCTTACATTTAGATGAGGCACCTGATTCCCTCCTGAACAGATCTACTTTCTCTCCAAGCCCCCTACTTTATCATGACTGTATGTTTTCCCATCCTGAGTTTATAGCCCCTGAGTTTATATGGGGGTGGTGTAAAATGCAAACAGTGTGGGAGGAATGAGTTAGCACTCTCTCGAGCCCATTTCCACACTGTTGCAAGCAGTGGGTCCACTAAATGGCGCCACAAAATGCAGGAGGGTCTTGGGAGTGGCCCTCCCATGTCACCTCTGTTTTGAGAGCTTTTAATATGGCTGAACACTTGCTGGAATGACTCTGCCATGGTTTGCACAGTGGAACACGGAAGAAAGCAAAGTAAAAGTGCTCTCATCAGAGCAGTGAAGACAGACCCTCCAAGTGAAACCAAGTCAAACAATAGCCTGATGTAAGCAAATGGACTCTCTAATCATGAGACTGAGCAGCTGCAGATAGAATCGATGAATGACTGCAGCGTCTCCCCTAATTGTATTACTTGCAAGGTCTTTTCAGCTAAATGCAATTGCCTGGTAATTCCTCATGGTCTCTCACTGGAGAAGACATGCCACCGTATTTGTAATATGTCCTGATCTTGTCTCTGTGGCATAAATCAACCTTAGAATTAGTGCTTTCAAAATATACGCCAGCCAAGTAGGTCGATTGGCTGGCTTTTATGGCCTTTCATGTGTTGTCTGGTGGACGTGCCCTGCCGAGGACAAAAAGAGATCAGCTGAAACAGTGAGATGCTTTAAGTAAGTGGGAGACTTGTGTGAGCTCGGCAGAGTAGAGGATGGACAACCTTTTCAGCAGACCCACTTGGAATGGTAAGAGGATGCTCAACGTTCTCACAAAATGGGCAACCCCTTACCCTTTGTGGGAAGGGGTTGCTCATTTATAAAACAGTTTCCAAGGGTGGGAATTGCTCATTATTTCCCAGAAGGCAAACTGATGAGATTAAACGGCCAAGAATACTCTCCTATGCATGTTTAGATAGGAAAAAAGGCCTACAGCTTCTAGTATGCCCCAACCAGCTTGGAGGTTGTAGGCTTTTTTCTGTCTAAGCATGCATAAGATTGTGCTTGAACTTGCCCAAGAACCTGAGTGCAATGCCAAGGTGGGTCTAAGTGTCAAAACAACTCTTTTGAATCATGTCTTGCAGCGTGCCACCCTCCCAGTTAAAAAAGCATCAGTAATAATGCTAATAATAAAGCAGATGTTACAGAAAGCCTAGACTGGTGCCCTGGGCATCATATATAGGGTTTCCGTACAGTATTTTTCACCAGCAGCCCTGTTCCACATTGTCAACTGATTTGGGAGCTTTAAAAAGCAAGTTATGCTATAACATGTCACAGGGCTAGTTTCAGAGGCTACAATTATCCTACCTACCCACCCACCTAATTTATGTTTCTTATTTTGAGAGTTAATTTTATGTCAGGATGGCTTGTGAGCTGCTGCTTCAAGAGGTATAGTGATTCTCTAAAGGCTAAGAACTGCAACACTAACAGCCAGTTATCTGTGAGTAAGCACCATTGAACTCAGTGGGACTTATGGCTGAGTAGACATCAGGATTCCACAGCAGTGAGCCATCTGTGGCCCTCCCAATATTTTGTTCGATAAATTCCACTATCCTCCACCATGCCTAGCTCAGGCTAATGGGAACTGTAGACCAAAACATCTGGAGGATCAGAAGTTGCTCATCCCTGCCCTCTAAACAGCTTCAGTCTAGGAAGGACCACTTATGGTAAAGGCTATCAGCAGCAGCCTTCCAAATGGTGGAGTCTTACTATGACACTCTTTCTCCCAGGGAAGTCCAAAACAGTGTTGGTGTTTAGAAGGCCTATCCAGACTTTTTGGCTTCTTGTAGAGATTTGTGGCTGTATCAAAGAAGAAGGAATGAGACCCCTCCAGTTGGCTGCCTGCGACCATCAGCCATTTGGTTTCTCTCCTTCTAGAGTTCCACTAGGCCCCCTCACATCTTGCAAGAACCTGTGAAGAAGGGGTGGATCTACACAGCTCCACCTCTGACAAGTGTGCTGACCTAGTGCCAGCTGATCAGATGTCTGATGGACTTATGAAGGGGTCGCACATGTGTGCAGGTACATGCACAATGGATTCTTCAATTCAGAGTAGGGGAGATCCTGACTGGCTGAAGACCAGCCCCACATATGGAAATGTTCCAACCATGTACTTCCGTATGCACATGGGGACCATGCTCATTGCATCTGAACATGTGAGAAGTGGTGCCATGGCTGGAGAACTTGTTAGTGGGTGGTAAAACTAAGCAACCAAATTCTGCTGTGCACGTTGTTGGTTCAGACAACACAAGACAAAGCAAACCTGGCTTATAAGCCACTGTGGTTTATTGTGGTCTGTGACCCTAGTAACTGAAAGAATTACTATTTTGCAAATTTCTTCTTCCTCTTCTCTACCCATCCTTTCTCCCTTTCGTATTGCATCTCTTAATCTCTTAGGTCAAATTCTAAGCCACCTTGAGTGCTTTGGCGAAAAGACTACACATATTTACAAGGTTTGATTCAGCTTAATCTTTAGAACACACCAGCTGAAATCAATGGGTTCTACTTTGGGTATGCTTAAGTCCGGATCTAACCCACAGTAAACAAGTGCAGCTTTTTTGTATAATTTCCCTTTTACTCACCTGCCATGTTTTTTTAAATCAGTGTCTGCTTTTCTTATAATTTGTTTTAGGTGGCTTTATGTTATAATTGCCTTTGCTTTTCTAAGCTGCCTGGAGGGGCTCCACTTGGGTTAAAAAGCAGCCGAGACAGAGACAAACAAACGGAGCAAGTCAGGGCACGGACTGCAAATAGAAACTCCTTCCAAATGGCTGAGAGGAGGAGCTGTTGATGGCCACATCAGCCAGTCTGTGGCATGGGTGCCACCAGTGCTACAGACAGCCGGGGTCTGGGAAACCCACCAAAGGCCTGGTTAAGAGGCACACATCCCCATTGCAAGATGCATCCAGCTACCTCAGGCCCCAGATGTGCATCATGATGTAGAGATGCAGGCATGCCCAGATATCCCACTTAAACTGCACAGGCACAGAATTCCCAGTACAAAAACTGGAAAAGTATTCCTCTGGTAATATCATTATCTGGAAGAGAGCTCTGACACCAAACAATGCCGTTAACTCATCCCTGGCTTTCTTGATCGTGATGTGGGCATAAACTGTCCCACAGTTCAGCTGCTCAGCCAGATCTGTCAAATTTGAACGGCTATCTGCCAGCGGAACAGACCTATCTGGCAAAATGGATTCCCCCTGCCCCCAAGATTTGGGCTCTGTCATGATTTTATTTTCCATGATCAACTCCTTGTGCAGAAAGATCTGAGTTACTGGGATGTGCCCAAGGGGGTAACTCAGATCGCCTTCTCTGTGACCCGGCGTAACTCACCACAGATGACCCAGTCTCTTGTTGACCTTTATCATCTCGGCAAAGCACTCGGCCGCTTCGTCATCCAACTCGTTCTTTGTTAGCCTGATGAGCGAAACAAAAGGGAAATGACAGTTCTGAGCAATGACAGCTCTGCAGTCGGGAAGCACGGGCATGCCCTTCCGTCTTACTGTTCCTTATTGGCTGGCTTCACTGGCAGCCCTGTCAAAGATCCTGACCAAGCCAGGAATGAAGAACAACGGCTCATCTCTTCAGTTCAGCTGGCATGCCTCTCCGCTCTGACCATGGCTTGCACCTCGTGCGGTTTCTGCTGTGAACGACTCCTTTACAGTATACCCTTTGTACGCATGAAAGCAAACATACGCTTGGCTTCCAGTGTTTATTGGGGAATGTACAATCTTATCTATTACAAATCAGAGCCAGAGAGCCCTGCCTGCATGCCAAAGGCATTTCCACCTGGGCAAAAAAGACCTTCCTCTGTTGTTTTTTAAATGTAGCTTTGGAGCTTCTACTCAAAGTTTCCAAAGTTTTGGAGGACGCCTGAAGCAGGTTGGGAATGAAGGGATCCAAAAATCCCTACCAAGTGCAGAGTTGCGTAATGTCCTTTTGGATCCAGCCCAGAAGCTCAGAGAGACTGGAGCTCCCAGGCGTTAAAAAATGGCAAGGGTCTCAACGTTACTTAGGATTTATAAGCAATCCCAGTTTTGCAAACAAAAGAAAATAGCGGGGAAGGCGTCTGTGCACAGGAGGCTGGCTCCAACATTATTTCCTCCTCCTTCCCTACGTCTTGTCCCTTGTGTGCCACATCTTGGGTTATAAACCTTAGGAAGGGACTGTCTTGTTTCACTGATCATGTGTGAGCCATTCTGGAAGCCTTTTTGATGGAGAAGCAGCATATAAACACTCAACATCAATGGATGGATGGCTCTTCATGGAATATGAACATCTGGATCAACAACAAAATGCTACAGCTTATCTTCACTTCCTAGACAGCAGCATTCCTCAACCTGGTGCCCTCCAGGTGTTTTGGACTACAGCTCCCAACCAGTGGTGTGGTGGAATCAAGGCTTACAGGGATGCAGAATGGGCACTTTTTGGTTAATAGGAATGTTAACGTCATCTGTCACTTCCCTATCCCCCCTGATCCTCACAGTAGCTGAATTCATGTGTGTTGAAGGGGCATGAATTTCCCAGGAAGAATACCTTCATTGTGGTACACAGCATTTTGGTCTCGTCTGGCTTGACCCATTCACCAGACCTGATCCTGGTGGAGTTCAACCCTGCTAGAATTGGTTTGCTGAGAGAGACCAACACTGCTGCCTAGATTTTGGGGCTCTCCCTGTTGGAGATGGGGTTCCAAGGGGACTGCCTTGATGAGTGCTTGCACTTCAAAGCTGACCACTGCACCACCCAACAGTGGTGAAAGCACTATCGGGATAGCGGTCCTGATCATTGGCCATATTGGTTGGATCTGAAGAGAGCTGGCCCAAAACATCAGGAGGGTGGGACAGCCATTCTACTCCATTCCGGCCAGTGATTCCACCCATGGCCACCTCCATTTTGTTCAGGTCTAGCCAACACTCAACATTCCACGGTTGCAGAGCATGTTCAGCCTTCATGAGGCTGCTCTTCTCCTTTCACCTCTTATTGCTACAGTGTTCTTTGTATTTGTCCAGATGCTAAAGGTGGTGAGTGCTGATGCCCGAAGGCCGGAGCACCCTGGAACAAGTGCATTTAGCACTGTTTGTTCATCACTGTCCTGTACTGTTCAGTACTGTTCGAGCCATCAGCAGCATTGTGGCTGCCGCTCCCAAATGTCTTGCACGAGATCCTGGGCACCACTTGGGATATCATCAGATATCCTTTTTGTCAATGCCTGGGACTCCTTGTTCTGAGAAGCACAATTGCCTATTGTATCTAGGAATTTGGTCATGATCAAACCATGCATTGTTAGAGCAATGATGGAAGAAAAGATTTCAGAGAGTCTGGCTTCCCACCACGTCAGATTGAGCATTTCAGGTTCACTGCCTCAAAGCGGATTCAGAGGCACAAAAGGAAAGGGCTTGGGGCAAGAATGAGTAGTGAAGATGGCTTATGCGACAGGAGATTGTACAGCACCATAACCAAAGGTTGTGTGAACCAGGTGCCCAATTTTGGAAACACATCAGCTAAACACCACTGATCTGTGGGGAGAAGGTTCATCTGGAAAAGGGTGAAGACTGCTTTGTCTGGATTCTGGATTCTGCTCAGTTCAGGACTGGGTGCATTCTGATACTTTCCTGCAACAGGAAGAAATGTGTACAAACACCCTGGTGTGTCCATTAAGTAGTGATTTTCCCAAGATACCAACTGTTTGGATCTCCGTGTGTGCATGTGTACGTTGGGGAGGAACATAGGCAGCTGCCTTATTTTGAGTCAGACCATGGGACCATCTAACTCAATATTGTCAACACTGTCTGGCAGCAGCTCTCTGGGGTTTCATGGAGGAGTTTTCTAGCCCTACTTGGAGATGCCAGGGATTGAAATCAAGACCTTCCACATGCAAACCATGTGCTCTAGCACTGAACCACAGCCCCTCTGCCTGTTCCTAGTCTCCTGGCATGGCTGCTGTTGTTACATGTCAATTGTCTCCAACTTATAGTGACCTCATGAATGAATACCTTCCACAATGTCCTGTCCTTCAAGCCCTGCTTAGCTCTTGTAAAAACCTGAGGCTGTGGTTTCCTGTATGGAAACAATCCATCTCATAATTGGTCTTCCTCTTCTTTTTCTGTCCTCCAGCTTTCCCTAGCATTATTTTCTCCTCCAATGAGTCTTGACTTCTCATGATGTGCCCAAAGTACAATAGTTTCAGTTTTCTCATTTTTACTGCCAGGGCAAGTTCTGGTTTGGTCTAGGACCCACTTGTTTGGCTTTCCGTTGATGCCCTTACCCGTGATGAGCGAAAAGCACTGCTTCCTCCATACTCCTTTTTAAAGTCCCAAAGCTACTGTTCTTCCTGGCATATCTGCTTGTTTCAACAAGACTAGATAGAAACGAGTTTCTTCTTTCTTACCCATCAACATCTTCTGAAATAAGGCAGGGCCTCTAGTTTTCTTTGAAGTGAAATTGATAGGTCCATGCCAAAAGCTCGTGTTGTGGGAGCTGGGAGCACTGGCTGGGGCTCTTCCAATAATAAATAGTTCAAATTTCACCCTGCTTCTGACTGGCCAACATTCGCTTAACTGGCTTGATTTGTTCGCCTAACAGGGCTTTCAATAGGATGCTTTTGCTGGAAGCAACAGTGCCAAACCAGAAACCCAGGGAGCTGCTTCCAGATGGAGAAACCCAACACATCAGGTGGCAGCACTGACAGAGATGTGAAGAAAGACCACCCCGATGGGACCACTAGCTCTGCTGGGCTCTTCCTTTCCCCAGAAGGTTTCTATTCCAGCAGGTCAGGCTAAGAACTATGGCTCTGGTGACCTTTATTCTATACTCATTGCTGTTCTTTATGTGCAGGGCCAGCACTGCCATTTGGCAGAGCGAGGCAACCACCACAGGTGGAAGATGCTGGGAGACTCTAATTCATTCCTTCTGAGATTGCTCCTCCAGGGAGTTCCCAGTCTTGGGAAGAGAGGGATGTACATGCCCCGCAGCCTGTCCTGCTGGCCTCAGATGTGGTGGAGGACCCTATCCTGTTCTTGTGCTGAAGTATGTTTAAACGGTCAGTGCAGCCAGCTTCTGTGCATGGGATGGAGGGTGGAGGGCTATGTCTTGACCCTTGCCTTGGGCTGGCCCTGCTTATGTGCCACATGTGACATTTGGAGAGGGTGCCATGTTAGTAGGGCCCTACCCCCATTCACACACCGGGGCAGAAACTCCCTGACAAGTCTGTGATCTATTCATGCAGCCTCCCTGCGTGATTTCAAAGTCTGATCATGGCAGGTTCTAATTCACACGGGGAGTCCATATGCAGAGCAGAGCCCTCCTTCAGAACTTCTGCCTCCACTATGTGGAAGGCATGTCTCTACTCTCCAAATGCATGAATAGGCAAGCTTATGAAGCTTGGCAAAAACAGATTATGTAATTCAGGTAAAAGCTAATGCCAGAGTTTGCCTGTTTCCCCCTTCCCTCCATATTGTCTTTTCCTTTTGTGCTGTTTCTTTTAGGTAATAAACCTTCAGAGAGGGACTCTCTTGTTTTGTTTTTCACTTTAGATATTCAGTTGGGGGGGGGGTAAAAGTACTTCAAGTAGCTGGAAAAAATTCAGCTATGTATGCAAATGTATGTAACTGCTGCCAGTTTGGAAGAAAGATAACACACCAGTCCCTTTCAGATTCCTTTAGTGTGAGGAACTGTTACCCCCTTTCTCTGATCTCTTATCAAGTGTGTAAATGAATTCAAGACTTTAATTCACAGGAATAGGTGATGTTTCCATGGGTGAGAAAAGGCCTCTGGTGTCTCCCGCTCCCTTTCTCCTGTTGTCTTCACAGCATCCTAAGCCACCAAGATGAGATCTCAGGGCTCCCTCAGCCTCACATGGCCCTCCCATCTTCTTCCTAGGCTTCCAAAGCTGGGTAACTTGCACAGAAGGCCAGCCTAGGCCCACATGAAGCTGTTCCTCTTTACCTGGACTTCAGAGACCCCTGACAAAAAGGGACCAGGCATTAATTTTCCTCCCAGCCACTGAACTCCCTTTTTCCTATCCTCTCCCTCAGCAAGAGGCAACCCTGGACCCACCTAGGCCACCCAAGCTGCGCCTCTCCAGGACCTGGTGGAAATTCGTTCCTTACCAAAATATATTCACGGTGCTGTTGTGCTTCATCGCTTCCGCAATGCTTTTGCCCCCTTCCGTTGTGATGCCGTTAAATGCAAGACTGTGGAACAAACCGTGGACAGGAGAGCTGTGTTAAAAAAATCAAGCACACTGCACCCACTGCAATAAATAGTTTGCTTTTGCAACCGGTAATAGTCCCTTGTATTTGGACGAGGCTTAACATGGTCAGACATTATGCAAACATTGACTGATACGGTAGTGTCACAAGCATGGCCCTCTGCTGTCGATAAGACGCTTCTTCTCTCAGCTACGCAGAAGATTCTGTGTTAACTCTTAAAAATGCAGCCAGGAGTGAAACAGCTGCCTGTTCTGTCTCAGGCCGGATACACTTTTATACCTGAGCAGTACAGGCCCTGCTTTCCCAAGGATGCCTTCCACACTGATCTATCATGAGAAGCTTTTTGGAACCTCATGGTCAGAGCAGGGATTTCTTCCCACCTGTAAGAAGGGGGTGTTTTGCATGTGAAAGGGGTGTTGGCATAGCTCCTCTACATGAATCCAATTTGCCACCTCCTTTAGAGGACTGTTGCAACAAGATGCTATGGACAGGCAGGCCCCAGGGCACAGAAGAAGCGGCGACTGCCACCTGTTTGGGTCTGTGGGCACATCTGGAGCGTGTTGTGGGTAGTCTCAATAGCTGATTGCCATGCCAGGACTTGCCCATTTGTGACATGGCTACCACAGCGAATGTGGCCAGTCACAAAACACCCCATTGCAGAGGGCAAACCTGGTGAGACTAAAAGGAATGTGACCTGTCCAGGAACCTAAATACGAAGCAGGGTGCACGGGTGTACACGTCTGAGCTTCAAAATGCAAAACTGTTCTTTTAAGCCAGAAGAACCATGACCCGAAGAGCACCATTTCACTGTGCTGTATGCCAACTTCCAAGTATATTTTAAGTTACATTTTAAAACATCCTACACAATAAAATATAACTCAGAAGGGGCAAGGGGGAGGGTAGGTTCCAAGAGATATTTCTGGGGCACCTCGGCACCCGTTGGCACCACAGTGGAGATCCCAGACATAAAAGGTAAGTGAAAATCAAGTCTGACAACTGATACCCTGGAATAAGTGCACTTTGTCAAAGCAAGGTAAGGTGCAGGCCATCTTGTCTAAATATGATAATCGGTCTTTGGTGGTTCTTAGTGGAGTGCTTATTAACAAGATTTACACATTGTGTTTGGGGTGACCAACCATCCATCTTTTCCTTCCTTCCTTCCTTCCTTCCTTCCTTCCTTCCTTCCTTCCTTCCTTCCATCCTTCCTCCCGCCCCGCCCCGCCCCGCCCCGCCCTTTGCAATCCAAACTGCTCAGTCTGCAAAGAATTTTATCAGGTTGCTTGAAAAATACAATCTGATTTTTAGCTATGATGCATCCATGGTGTTTAGTATTTTACTGCCTTGGATGCTTCTAAGTTAAATATTAAATTCAGTATTATGGTTTTTGAAATGTATTGCTATTTGCTGGTTGACTTGTTATGTATTGCAAGCCACCTCAGAAAGGTTATTACACTAAAAAGTGGCTTATGAATATTTGAAATAAATAATAGTAAAGAAGAACAGGCATATTGTACAAGGCAAAGACCAGTTCAAATGCTATCAAAATAATGTGTAAATGAGGGGGAAATACACCAATGTTGATAGGCACAATTCCTGAAAATCAACCTGCTGGAGTCTACATTGATGGGAAAAAGAAACCTGGAGAGGTCGCTTGAGTACCAAGCCCATTGAAAATGGGTCCCTTTATTCAAACAGGGACTCGGCAGACAGGAAGTGAGGGAACAAAGTCTTCTCTGTTTTAAAATTCCCGTTTTAATATTTCATCTTATTTCCAGAGCACAACCCTTTGAGCTGCTTCAGTACTGAGACATAGGAGTACCTGCTAAGAATTAGTGGTCAAGTCTGGATAAAAGGCATAGCTCCTTCAAGCAAATAACTGGAAACAAGCAAATTCCAATCCCATATACTGGTATTCCCCAAAACAACAGACACAGGTGACTCATCCATTTTTGGCCACTTTAATTTGGGCTCAGAATGAATTAATGCTCCTGCTTCCTTCAGAAGTCATGGCAATCAATTCAGCATCTCTGCTTTTGAAGACGACCAGATGAATTCTTAGCAAAAGCCAGAGTCTTCCTAAGTGGGCCTCATATAAAAGACCTCTAAATTAAGCTGGGCCTGAAAGGTGAAGACTGCATTGACTATCCCTAATCCAGCTTTCCCCAACCTGACACCCTGCAGTTACACTGGACTTCCCATAGAAGGCATTTTATTGCCGCATTTCACAACCTGGGAGCTTCTGAGAAAACTCCCATTGCTCCTTAATGGCAGTTCTTGTTTGTGAAAAGAGAAAGAGGAAACTGAGAGGATTCACACTGAAGGTTACAACTACCTTTAATACCACATTTCTCTCCTTTCGTTCTTGAGGCCAAGAACCGAATTTTCCATACATGCCAGAGGCAAGGGGTTGGTTCCAAACCTCACAAGGGCAGAAGATGGGACCCCCCCCCCCACCTCCACATGGACAGATTGTAGTGGAGGAGAAATCCATTCCCTTCCAGTAGATACAACTCATGGAAACCTGAGGCTACCACTAGCTTGGAAACTCTTGCAGCAAAGTCCTCATTTGGGTTATGATTCCAAAGGTAACCATTTCAGGCAGCTCCCATCATCAAGCCTATTACAGAGGCTGCTCACTCTGGTCAAGAGCCAAAGAATTATCTGTGTGCCCCCAAAGGAGTTTTTGTCTTGGATTTTATCCCTTGGTCCATTCATTACATTTCTACACTGGCCAAAGTGCGCTCATTTTTGCAACCAAGAGGGGTTTGCTGATACTGCATCAAGGCCCTTCATTCACAGAAAAACTTTGCACGGGCATAAGCAAGCCCTGGGAAGCATCGAGTCATTCTTCATATTCAAGCTCTTCCCTTTGGGACTTGTTTTCAGTGGTATCAAATGTTAAGATGCTTCCAAAACAGAAAGAGAAAGCTGACATTTGATCCATATGTAGCCCAAGGGAAACTGGCTATTCGATGCATCCCAAAATAGAGCATAGGAAGCTGCCAGATACTGAGTCATCCTGGGTCCATCTAGCCCTGTGCTGTGGACATGGGATGGAAGCAGCTCTCCAGGGAATCAGGCAGGAATTTTTCCAGCCCCACGTGGAGATAGCAGGGATGGAAAGCAGGAATTCCACCTGCAAAGCGGGTGCTCTCCCACTAAGTTACGGCTGCCCATGACATCATCATCATCATCATCATCATCATCATCATAATCATCATCATCATCATTATTATTATTATTACATTTCTATGCCTCCCCTTGCCGAAGCCTCTGCTCACTCAAACCCCATCGGGATCTCTTTTCTCTGACAATAGTGAGCATCCACTCCTTCAATGAGTAAACCAAATTGTGCATTCAGCAAAACAGCCCATTTGAACTGGCCCCCAAACAGAGGCAGGCTGGAGGGAATATGGACGTAGCAACCTGGCATGTTAGCCCAAAATTAGGACAAGCCATGCATGCTGTTGAATGGAGGCATGTGCGGTCTCCTTTTCAAAGCTTGGGCACAGGGATTTTTAGTGGAAGCCTGGGCTGTGTCTATGTTTGCAGCAGGTTTCCTTTTCTCTTCGACAGGCACTGTATCAAGCAGCTTTAGATATTCCAGATGCGGTGTGCTATGTGGCACAGAGAGGGGTGCTGCAAACTTAAGTGCATCTGGTGTGCATGCAAGGCATTGCACTGGCCCTGGCTCTGGCCCAGGTGGATCTCGTCTGCCCGAACCTGCTAAGTGTTTCTTGCACACCTGTTGGCTTCCCAGCTCGACTCTTAGCGCAACTAGGATGAGAATGCCAGGGAAGGTATGCAAGGGAGGTGCTTCAGTAAGGGAGCAATGTCTCCGGCAGACACAAAGCCAGACTCCTGCCAGGTAAGCTGCTCTGATACTCCAATAGCCATTGCCACCATAGAAGCTGCGGGCAACCTGTGGCCTTCAGATGTTGCTGGATGCCAAATCCCATCCGCCCTAGCCAAGCATAGCCAGTAGGCATAACTGCTGCGAGCTGTCATCCCACAGTTCCTGGCCAGCCATGGATTCTGCACCTCTGCTATGCAAAGCAGTGGGCCTGCAGTCTGAGAAAAAGTGATATGAAAGCATGTACGTTTAACTACATGTGTCCCACTTCAGACCCACAGAGGTCCTCCCCAAGTTCCTTTAGCCATTTCTGTTAAGCACAGGAGAAAGCCACAGAGGGGGAATGTCTCTTCCAGTGCTCACAACGAGTCAGCTTGGAACAGGACCCAGTGCAGGCAGGCAGCCAGGCACAGGGCTGTGTAAAGCCTTCTGCTGTTGACTTCCTGTAGCTGCCAGCTTCCAGATCACTCAGAACTCTTTGACATTGTGAAGGAGGTGAGGCTAAGAGTAGGACTGCACCCGAATCCACCCTGCAAGCATCACAGCTAAAGAGGTTTTCAGTGCCTTGGCCAAATATTCTCCCTTTTTAGAGACATTTTATATCTGACAGAATGGGTAGGCCTAGATTCACCTCTCAAGAGGAGGTCCAGACAATCATGGCTTCTTCAGAGGGACAAAGTGTGTTTTGTCTTGGTTTGGAAAGGCATTTATTTTTCACATTCATACTTCACATGTTCAGGTGTTTGTGTATAATTACCTTAGGGATGTCCATAAAAACAAATGTGAAGCATCCCTCTTTCTTCACTGCAGATGCTAAACATATGACTCAATGAAACACAGTAAAGTCTGCCATCTTGTGGGAAAACCGAAAATGGCTATTTGTCCACTTGAATTGCGGAACCTGGCAATATTTAGGGGTTGTTTATGAGAGGGAAGTGACTATTTTTTTTAAAGGAAAGCTTGTCTCTTAGAAGTTTCTATCCCAGTTTTGAGGGAATGCCAACACTCATTTTATTTGAGTGTGTGTGCGTGTGTGCAGCCAAATGAGTATTGACAATGTTGTTTTCTCACTGCACCATCACATTTTAAAAGCATCAATCAGGTTTGATTTTCAAAGGTCTTGGCTCTAAATTGGTCTCTGAGCATCTCTGCCAACAACTCAGCAGTACTGCTAGACTCCTGAAGTCTTCAAGAAGATGACACAGTCCCTGTCCAAATCTGCTTAATACAGTCTTTGGAACAACTCCCTCCATTTATCTGTGCCAAGGCCACAGGGCTAACCCCTCGTTTGAAGGTGCTTTTCTCCAAGTGTCCTCTGGTGAGCCCTGGCAGCTTTATTTGGCTGCAGCAAGCAAAATTGGACAGCCCTATCTGGGCAGCTTTTTGCTTTCCCACAATGCTCCTTGGCAATGCTTAGTCAGAAGGTACCGGCTCTGTACCGGCACAGCTTTCTCCCATAATGCTTGCTGCAGGCTGTTTTCTGCATGTTGTTCCCCAGAATGCTGCAATGGGTGGCTTGTCTGTGGAATGCCCTTCCCAGGGAGTACTGCCTGGTGCCTTCATTGTATCCCAGAGTGGGAACCTCCTTCAGCATAAGGGCAGAATTCCAGAGGAAAGAGCCAGAAGAAGGGGCATGACCATCCGAAGAAGCCTGCCGGGCTGCTCCCCCACCCTGCTATATAAGTTTAGACACCAGGTGAAGACTTTCCTCTTTCAGCAGGGAATTAATCTTTGAGCTGTTGCTCTGGTTATTAACTTCATCACTGGCTTTTAAATATCTTAATCTATTAATATTTAAATGTGTTGTCATTTTTATCATTGTATTCATTATTTTGGATGTTACTCTGAGTTGTTAGGACTGCAAACTAGCCAGAGTCCATCTGCCAGCTTGGTAGTTCTTAAATTTAATAAAATCAATAAACAATATTGTGGGAAATTTAAAGGACGGCTTAGATTATATCCCCTTGCAATGCTTTTCTTTCATGCTAGAAATTCTTTCATGGGTGCTCAAGGCAGACAATACCTGTAGGTTCTACTAGTTGCCCAAAGATGCCCCATGGTGACTTTAGTCCTTCAGGGCTCCTTTAGGTGTTCCCGGGTACTGGGAATTGGAGGGCTGGCAGCAGCCACATTGCATCCTGTTGAAATCTTGCTGTTGTCAGGATGCTCCTGACAAAATAAGGGTCACCTGGAAAAATAAGCAGTGGCTTTCCACCCATACAAGCTCTTACCTAACATTCGTTATAGTGGGGTGATTCCTCAGTGCTTCTGCAAATGCCTTGGCTCCTTCGTCCCCAACCTGATTTCCCCACATCCTGCCAAAGAAAAAGGGACCAGACCCATGAAGCAACATCAGTACCACTTTCCCACCCACACAATGGCATGCCAGGAAGAAGCTGTGCTGAAGAGATGTTTTTCAACCCCTGGAATGACTCCAGACCCATTTGTGGGTGGGTGTACAATGTTTTTAATCATTACTTAAGGCACAATCCCATGCCACAAAAACAATTCTGTGACTCTGAACGCTTCCCAGAAAGAACTTTCTTCTGTTTGGAGATGTGTAGGATTCTGCCCTGAAAGTATTTTTATTTAGCTCCTCTGCCAAAGAGGCTTGCATACATGCTGTCAAAAAAGAGAATCCCCAGCCAACACAGGCTTACAATCTAAGAGGACATGAGACAGAAGGAAGACGGGATGGGAAAAATCAAGCAGCCTCCACATGAGATTGATGGAATGACCCCTCCGCCCCTCTGATCGCCCCCTCTTTTCTCCCTCTGTACAGTCTGCTAGAATGACTGGCGGTGGTGACAGCAGCGGGAAGAGGAAATACCACACAATTAGAATCATGCAAAGAAAAGCAGGGCTGCCCATACAGAACCCATCAGGGCCAGCCCAAGGCATTTTGCTGCCTGAGGCAAAGGCAAGAGGTGCCCCCTTCTGTTCCAGGTACAGAAACCAACTGGACTGGCACGTGATGCTTGTTCCAGCAATTCCAATGGTCCTCCATCAGACCTGAAGGAAACGGCTTAGTTCAGAGGATGTAGGACAGGTTGTGAGACACACTTTGTCTTCCCAAGAAAGCAAAATGGCTGGCGGCGGCTGCCTCACAGCGATGACAGCTGCTGCCTCACAGCATCAACCCCTTGAGCTGGTTGCCTCAACCTGCCTAATGACAGGGCCGGCCCTGCCCTCCAGCAAAAGAAGAGAGAACAGAGAAGCAGAGAACAAGCTTCTGCAGCACAGAAGATCCTCTACTCATGTAGGTGGTGGCAAAGTTTGTGCAGGACGTGGGAGTTGAATTCCAGGACATCAACCATCCCCCTACCCCAGATGACCACCTACAGGGCAGCACGTGATGGGACAGTAGCCAAGAGGCCCAGTGTCAGAACTGGGGCTAAAGCTACAGCATCCTTTCTTTCTCCTTCTTTGAGAGATTATCATCATGCACACAGTAGTGGATGCTACATTATTATTTTGAGTTACAATCAAGTACATTTAAATCATGCTATAAATCATTTATGATTTAAATGGGTTTTTAAAAATGGGGTGAGCAATCTGTTTTGGTCTGGGGACAAGACTGCTCTGTAGACCAAACCTGGCAGGCCAGGTGATGTTAAGGAGACAGACTCCCGCCCCCTCAAAGCACCCCATGTTTTGCTTTACACAGAGACGGTTACAGTGCAGCATGTCCCCTCCTGCACAGAAAGGGACTCTGCTGGCCAAGCTGACTGCCTCCTTGCTGCCCCACTTGGATTCCCAGTGGGGTGTAATGAGGGCAGGAAGGGATCTGGGAGTCAGCTGAGTGTAGAGGCATCCTTTGTTATCTCTGATCGGAGAGTGGAGGCAACAAGGGGATTTATTTTTTTATTTATTAGATTTATATCCTGCTTTTTTCTTACACTGAACTCAAAGCAGTTCACAGCATCCTCCTTCTCCTGCTCTGAATCTTATCCCAACAACAACAACAACAACCCTGTGAGGTAGGTTGGGCTGAGAGTCTGTGACTGGCTCAAAGTCACCCAGTTGGCTCCATGGCCAAGCAGGGACTAGAACCCAGATCGTCCGAGTTCCAGTTCTTAACCACTGCACCACATTGGCTCTCACACCACACTGTATGGATTTGATTTCCAACAGCTGAGGGTGAACATGGGATGGGGTGGGTCATGGCTCACACAGTGTGCCCAGTTCCCTGTTGAACAACTTCGGCAGCCTATAGCTCTGCAATTCCCTAGCTGCACCACTGTGTGTAGGCCCCTGTGCAATTTAGAAACTAGAGTGTCCAAGGGCAGGAAATTGCACAAGGAGCCAAGGCGAGAGGAGCAGCCCCCAGTGCAGAAATTCACCCTTGAATGGGCAAACAATGAGGAAGTGATGGAGGGGTGAAGTTTGCAAGCTTATCCAACCTTCCTCCCTCACACAGTCCTTATTCTATGGGGGTTTTAAACGGCCACATAGAGCAGCTGTAAGCAAACACAGAAAAAATTACAACAAATTAGACAACAACAGAAAGAGTCACAGCTAATTGATTTTAACTAAGCCTGGATTAAAACCAATACTTTTGGATACTGTTCACACACTTGTCTCTCAAAACATCATTCTGGTGGCATGTTTCAGAGAAACATTTCTAAGCGTTTAGAAAGTGACACCGACACCGAGCTGCACTAGAAAGGAAATGTGAAAGTAAGGATTGGGGGAAATTCCAGACAAAGTGGGAGAGAAAACCAATGGTGGGACCTGAGGAGAGGTTAACCGGAGTATCAGGCGATATGAGTCAGCACAATTAGAATAGTACTTGTTTCTGTTTAGGCCAGCATTAGAAAGCCTGAAGCCTACCAGAGGTTTTAGACTAGATCTGACAGAAGACCCAGGCAAATGACCAGGAAATTGAGAGCTGTCACCCAGAACAGCTGAAGGATACCAGGTTGTCTACTTCTGACTGAGATTAAAAAAAAAGAAAAGAAAAAGAAAAAGCAAATGCCAAAAAGGGATCTCACTTACCCAATTTCATACATGGTTTTACTCTTCTGGATGGCATAAGCAAGGCTTTTCCCACCTTCAGTTGTTATTTTGTTTGCTCCTATTCTGAAAAGAAATGGATTTTGCTAGAAAATCAAGTCAGCAAATGCTTTCAATGCCATTATTTACTTCAGTGTTGTTTCAGACAGTCAAACACTGTGCTAGAGTCAACTGCTTTATGATCAGATCCAAAGTGGATCAAACACGCAGTCAGCGAAAGAAAAACACACTCTTAGGCTTTGTATTCCCCATTGCAGTGTGGCTGCACTGAGGATGTTGAAAGCTCCTGCTTTCAATTAACCAGAGCTTTCCACATCTTCTGAACTTGGAAAAGCTATGGTTAATCCATATTATGATTAGCAGAAATAAAGCATCTTCAACTGTCCTTTATGAAGCTGGTTTGTTTTCACTGTCCCTAGTTAAGACTGGATGAAGGACAGTTTATCTAAGTCACTTGGTCACTTTTCAAAGTAGGCTCATGTGACAGAACTAGCACTGTACTAGGTATCTCTGGCAGATCAGCCTGATTATTCCTAGAGATGGTAAGTGACAGATCTTTATCTCATATTCCATATATCTGGGACTAATAACCAAGATTACAATTCCATACACTCACTTTCCACAAGGTGTTATACTCCAGATGTTTTACACTGCAACTCATGGCATTTTTGGCCCCTGGCCATATTGACTGGCTGATGGAAACTGAAGTCCAAAACACCTGGAAGGCACCACACCGGGGAATGGTTATTGAATTCAAGAAGTCTTCCTTTAATGTATATAAATCCCAAGAGTTGCACTGAATAAGTAGTCTTATGCAAGCCTTCACTTGCTCGTGTCTAGGGCTAAAGGAGGGAGGGAGACGATGTGGGCACACAAATAAGCCCTGGCTTAGAAAGGGCTCTATAAGTGTGTTCAGCGGAACATGCTTACCAAGTTCCCATGATCACAAGCTCTGATAAGGCAGGGTTTCCAGTCACAGGAAGTCTGTAAGAATGTTCAGCGGAAAGTACTTCCAGATTCTATTCACATCTTTGCAGTCAACACTCGAAAGTCTCACCAGTGTCCTGGCAAGTGAAGTAATTGGGGGCAGGGCTTACTTGTGCACCAAAGTCTCCTCCTTACTTTGGCTCTGCACACAAGCAGGCAAACATCTGCTACGGGCTACTGTTTCCTCTCTCTGAACTATTTGGAGAAATCTTGAACCTGTGTCAAATGATCTGCCCCTTTTTAATTGCTATTGAAAATTGAGCTACAAACTGGCGCTTATTAATGATAAGAAAGAATTTCACATGTATCAATGCCACTATTTATAACAAAGGTTAATTAAGACAGTCTCTTCATTACACCTGCTCATGTAATGCCTCTGAAAATATGTAGTAATCTGCAAACATGTTTTGAATATTTCCATATATCGTGATCTTGCTTGGGGATTGGGAAATTGTTCTGATACAGCTACTGGTGAATCATTTACTATCTCAATTTGACAATGTGTACATTTAATAGAGTGCAGAATAAGTCCCATGAAGGGATATTCACTGGCTGCTTTGTAAAACAAGAGTCAGTGGATTTGTCAAGTTTAGTTCGCTAACCAATTCATTGAATTTAGATCAATATGCAGATAGAAAAGCCTCCATACAAGCTTCCTCTTGTAGATATTTTGCAGAAAATGTAGAAGTTACAACTTAATAGGCAAATGCTACTGCTCATTCTTAGCAGGAAATATTTCATGTTCTGTTCTGTGCAAAAAAGACACTGGCCTGAATTTAGGCTTTCTAAAGCCTTAAACCACCTGTGTGCTATCTCATGTTGTTCTCACAGTTTTCCCACCCTAGCACAGCAGTGCTAAGGAAGAGCGCTGGGTTAAGAACTCTCAGTGCTTGGCTTGATGCACACACCAGATTCAGACTGACCTAGTCTGCAGATGCATCAGAACCACAATGTAGAAGAGCTCTGAAATGGTAAAGAATGTACCACTTCAGACTTTCACATGTACCAAACTTCCTGTAAATAAAATCAATCAATAAATAAACGGTGTCAGGAGAAAAGGGGTCTGTCTTGGCCCACTCCCTTCAGTTATGCATTAAATTCTACTATATGATGTAAGCTGCCTCTAACCCTGCAAAATGGGATTTGTTTTGCTTGATTTAAATGATTACTATTCTGCCACTCAATTAAAAAAATGCTCAGGGCAGTTTACAATGAACAGAAAAGAAAATAGTGAAAAAAATCATAAGCAGAGCTACCAAGCAGAGCTATTAAAAAGGGAGCATTACAACCATCCAATGAAAATAAGAACTACAGTGATTAAAAAGTTTGGGAAATCAAAAGGTTCTCTCCTAGTACCTAAAAGATAACCAGGTGAGCCCCTCTGGGAAGCATAAGCAGGGTGCTACAACCAAAAGTTCCCTCTCAGTTCATCGCAAATGGCAGGGACAGATCTGTCATTGCATGCAGCAGAAATGTCAGCAAACTAATATTCAAAAAGAATCGATGTACTGTCAGAGTCAGTCACCTGTTCAGATGCAAGGTCTCATTTGTTCTAAGAAAAAAAAAATCAAGCTTCTGTTCTACTACGAAACAAGGCAAGGGAAGATACTTACTTGACATATGTGAGGCTTGGACATTCCTCAATGAGTCTTGCAACATATTTGGCTCCAATGTCAGTAATTTGGTTGTTATACAAGCTGGAAAAGAATGTGAACACAGGTTTATACCTGCCACTTTTACACTACCTGCATACACTTATTATATGAGGGAAACAGGACCTCCTCCTCCCCCTTCCAGATTTTAAGGCATTTGCGACAGAAGCCCATCTCAGCAACATTATATTATTCTTTGTGTAATGCAAACTATTTTGGGCAGGCTTGGTCCTGAACAGGCAAGTAAGGGCCATTAGCCTTACTAAAGACCTGCTACTAGTGGAGAAAAGAAGTGCTAGGACTAGCTTGCTGATATGGATCAATGCAGCTTCCTAAATTTTTGAACTCATCTTGGGTGCCTGAATAGGACGATTGTCACTAGGAACACCTGCACTTCAAAACTGCCTGCTACACCACTGAGCCCCATCCACATTCTTATGCACACAGCTGCAAATTAATTCCTTATTTGCCTACAACTAGTCAGGTCGGGGCCAGTGTGAAGTGGAAGAATAACATGAGCAAGAAAGAATCATTTCTCTTGTGCACTGCGACCCAATGCCCACTTAGCTGGGAGAGAGCTCCACTGAATTTAGTGAGATATCCTTCTGAATAGACACCTACGGGATGGTACTATTAAGGCCGAAAATGACTGGGGTGGGGAGATGACTTTCTTCCAAGCAATTTCCTCTTAAAGCCTTGTCAGTAAATTCACAGCAGCTTATAGCCCAGAAGAAAATATTAGCATCTTGCTGGTGGTTTTTCTCTTTCTGTAACAGCTTACAGCATTTTTGTGCTGGGCGCAGAGAAGAGATGGATTCCTCTGCCCATGCTCTCAGAATACGCTCTTCCACAAACTGCAGTCACAAGAAGTGCCACATGGCCATCTTTTATTTCTAAAGGGCAATTTGGAATCCTTAGACCTGACAGATAGAGAACATAAACATTCAGGCATCAACCCTTCACGGTAGTTTGTTGATGGAGAGGAATGGTCCTATGCAAAGGATAACTCAGACAGCCAAATGGGCATCCTGAGCACACAGACTTAGCAGGTCCATCAGCATGTGATAACCTGAGCCTATGCTTGCTTCTAAATGTGCCCGCTGCCACCTGGAACTACTGTGCTACAACTCAGCCTACCCATGTGGTGCACTGAATGTGCTCGCTGAAGATATCAGGCGACTACATTGGCATAAATCCAAGTCAATGTCTATTCAACAGAACTGACCTTCATAGAATAGCTAATCTCATGGTTATTTGCCTACCCCAAATAAGTGATGATTTTGTATTTGGACAGTTCTTCATAAAGCACTCTTATTCCTTGGTCTGTAATCTGGTTAACGCTTAGCCTAAAAATAAAACAAAGACACAGGAAGAAAACAGATGGCTGACCAGTTCTACAATTGATAAAAGAGGCCGATTATAATCATGGTGTTTTCTTTTGTTTTCTTTGCAGCACCATTTCTCAGTGTTTGGAAAAGGTAACTAACCAGATGGATTCCTCCCCGCTCACTTCTAACAACACAGCACCTGAAAAAGTAGGCCTGAGCAGTGCTTAAAACTTAATTTAGGATATTTCAGTAGGTCTGAATCTAGGATAATTCAACAGCCGCAAACTGGCTGATATCCTCTGCCTTCCTAAAGAACATTTTGAAGGAGTTTGCCTATGCCATGGAAAATAAATCATGCGTGGCTATTAGGAATGATGGAGAAAATTGCAATGGATTCAAATGAGTTTGCAGTTCTATGACTCAGTCTGCTCATTCTGCAGTGCACCACCTTTTTCTTAGTTGTATGGTGTCCATGGACTCATGGACCACTTTTTACTTTCTGGAATTTTACACAGATTTAGGAGTAGAAAGCTAGTTTTTAAAAAACCCAATCAAAATGTATATTTCTCTCCAATAGGCTAAAACATGAAAACAAGCATCGGGAAGAGATTTTTCACATCTTCAGAAGTGCAAATATGTGCAACTGTATATATGTGCGAGTTTGAATGAAGACATGTTTGGAAAATAGGGAAAAATGTATGAGCAGAAGACAGAACAAAGGTGCCTGATAATCCATAACATGCAGTTTGAATGGACTGCATAAAATCTGTAGCATTCAGAGTGGGTATATTGAGGGCTATAGAATCTGAGATTCTATGCAAGCCCTGCACTAATGCAAAAACTGATACTCCATTCAGAATTCAGCAGCAGTGTAAAGATCTTACCTTTGATTTATTGTACCAAATTAAGCAAGTGAGCGAGTGAGCAAGCAAGCTGCTGCTAGTTCTCAAAACTGTGCAAATAGCCACATGTATAGGGATGGCTAGTGAAATCTTCAAAAACACACAAGAATTCAGTTGAATTTTCAGTTACCAGAGGATGGGGCATTATCACCCTGTATAATTCCCCACTCTTTTCAGTAATAAGCAGAAAAATATAATCTGAAAAAAAGAAAATCTCTAGCTGCAAAATTCAGCATGTCTTGGCCCATTTGATGTACTTTGTTTCTGAGAGCATGGTCCAATTTCTGGGTTATAAAAGGGCCAATTCAGGTGGTGCTACTTCAAGGCGGGGCGGGGGAGTGTCTTCGAACAGGAGGAAGCCCTGGGCTTGAGGTCTTCCTCCACCCTCAAATTCCTGGTTGGGAGAGACCTTTCAGTTTGCTCAATCAGATTTTCCTGTCACACCCAACTTGTGGTCTGCACCAATTGTAGTTCGTGCTCAAACCAGTGCTTCCTGATTCGAATACCACAGGAGACCATGATTCAGCAAATGAGGAAGAGGCACATGACAGGAGAAGGGCAAGGGGGAAGGAGAGGAAAGGAGAGGCAGAAATGCTTAGGCTCACAGCTTGCTCCTTGCCCAACAAACCACAGCAGGCCAGCAGCCTTAGCATCATACCAGGTCAACGGCGATCACAGAGGCAGGTACAAAGCCCAAACATACCTAAGTACTGTCAGCTTCCTAAAACAAGGCAACAGCTGCTTTATTCCATAATCATTGATGTTGTTGTTGTCCAGGTCAAGAGCCAGCTGCTTCTGGAAATGGTTCATGACAAAGGAGATGGCGCTGCAGTCGGCAGAATAGGCATTGCAGTAGGTCAGTTTGATATAGTTGGCACTCATGTTCTTGGCAACCCCTTTACCAATTTTCTCACTCTGAGTTTCATAGATGCACCTCAGCATCCAAACAAAATTGGGCTTAACTTGAAGCTGCTTGTACTCCTTCAGTCTCGCCCGGGTGAGGCCCTTTAGGTGGTACTTCATGCTTTCAAAGAAAAAAGAAAGCAGCACCTTCCTTTTCTTCTTAAGGGATGCTGGGGAAACCAAATGCCTCATGAGTTTGTGCCTTCCCTTGGAAAGCAGACCACAGAGGAAGAGATTGGTAAAATGGAAGTGCTCGTTATTCCGGAAAGGATCCTCTCCTGTTGGATGGTGATTCTTCAACCAGGCAATTGGAAAGCAAGAGGACAGGGTGGTATCTTGAGGGGAGCATTCGGCAAAGAACCGCAGCAGTTCCTTTGCACCCACTTTCTCTTCTGTGACCAGGAAAAATGCTGTGAAGAAGGACTGTAAGATCAAGTGGAGGAATTCATAGGAAGACTGGTCTCCACCGTCTGCTTCATAGTGAGGAACTGGCCTGAGGAAACCCAAGTGCAAATCCTGCTCAGACAACTCAGCCATGTCATCATCTTGATCAAAGACAAAGCGAGACTTCTGCATCCCCCCGTGTGCTATTTTACTCAGTGCAAACAATGTCTCTTTGCTGGACCTGTATGTCTCCACTTGGCTCTGGTTGTTCTTCTTCAGTAAGTTTGTTTTCTGAGCTCGGTTCAAATGGACTTCAGTCATGAGCAAGAAAATATCAGTTAAGGTGAGGGTGACATCTGGGAGTTCATGGGTGTCAAACTCAGAGTGGAAATGATCAAAGCATCTGAAGATGATCCAGCAAAATAAAGGCACTGAGCATAAACTACTCAGATTTGGGTTGGCTTCCAACTGGTTGAGAACCAAAGTCCGTTGCGCTTCATCTTTGAAGAACATTTTGGTATATTCTTTCAGGTTAATGCTAGAAAACCCTTGAAGATGTACCTTTTTCCTGACAACACTTTGGTGAACTTCTGTCCCAGTCCTTGCTGTCAGGATTTTCCGGGACCCCTTCAGGAGCTTCCCACTGAGGATGCCTACCAGCAGAGCAAGAGGGTGTATGGATTCATTGGGAGAGCAGATCTCAGGAATGCTGCTGACGTCAAAGTCTGAATGGATCTCATCAAAGCCATCAAACGTGAACAGGACCGTGTGAGGGAATTTCACAATGAAATCGAAGACCTCATCTGGGTCCTGGTCTGGGAAGCAATTATATTTGAAGAGGAGGTCTTTCAAACATATTGCTTCATCCTTCTTAAAGCAGCTGAACATTCGGCACCGGAAACGGAAAAAGAATTTGGCCCCAATGTTGAATTCGCCCTTGGACCAGAGATTTTGCATCTTTTGCAACAAAATTGATTTCCCAATCCCTGCATCACCAAAGACATAGATTGTCTCCCCTTCTTCATTAATTAGTCCAATGTCATCACTAAGCAGATCTTCCAGGCTATTCACACTACCGAGTTTCTCATTATTCTGTTTGATGAACTCCATAATGTTGGCAGCATAAGTTTCCTCAAGCAGCCTATCATCCTTTTGGGCATACGACATGATGAACTTTGTGTCTCGGCCCAATTCATCTTTCAGCTTCTGATGATACCTGCTGACTGAAGATAATGGAATGTAACCATCAAAAAAATTAATAGCTGGCATTCATGCAGTCTTCATGAAGAAGAAAGTACTTTCGCAGCACTTTGTGTTAGGCCATGTTCAGAGAATATGTTTCTTGGCTGTGCAAAGAAAAGTCAAATAACCAAAGTCCTGGAGTATGCCTAAAATAGTTCTTTAGCACCCAGCAGCCGTGTGTCACACGTGGAGAATGCAAGGTGTGATGATCCTGCACATATGGACATGGCTTTGTGTATCTGCTAGTATATATGCCTGTCCATGTACAGTGATGTACATATGGCAGCACCCCAAATTTATATAGGTGTAACAGGCTCATTTGTGGAAATTTGTAGTGTGTGGAATAGCCCTTAAGTATAGAGCTAGTTCAGTAATTACATTTGATCCATTTCTACTTTTCTGTAATCTATAGATGAACAATTTATACTGTTAAGCACAATTCTTTCTGTGTAATGTCTTCATATTATTTACTTATGACTCAAAACTATTTAAGCTAAGCTCTCTAATTGGAAAAGAGGAAGAAAGCTCTAGAAAACTGAATTTATATAATTATCATGACTACTCTGCATTTGCATCCCTTTTTTCCTCTTGTGAAGAACTCAAGGTGGCTAACATAGATCCATGTTATCCTCGCAACAACTCTGTGACGTATGTTAGGCTGAGAGCGAGTAACTGGCCTGAAGTCACCAAGCACCATGGCCAAGAGAGGACCAGAACCTAGATCTCCTGGATCCTCTCCAACACTTTAACCACCATACCAAACTGGCTTTCAGTGTGTAAAAAAACACAATCCCTACAATCCAGAAGTTGTCCTACAATCTAATAAACTAAGCATGCCTCTGTAAAACACACAAAAATACTAGTTATCACATATTTGCATATATCACTGATAGTCAAATGTAAATATACACAGATGTCAAAGGAGAATGTATTATTTGTATGCAAATGTCTGTCACTCACCTCTTCTAAAACTTCCCACTTTTCTCTTAGTTCTATGACAGTCCTGCATATTCCACCATTTTATGGTCCCTAGACAGTCTGAGAAGCCACAGAATATTTTAGTTTCCTAGCTGTAAGGCTGGAGACACTGCTCCAACCTTGAAGCAGGAATTGGCTCTCTGACGGATTCCTTCATGCAGCCAACCTGGAAAGAACCATGCTGGCTATTCCCCAGGTTTGGAAAAACAACCTTGGAGAGAGGGAAAATGGAGAATTCTGGTGGGCAAAGAGGGAGGAGACCGGAGAGACTAGGATATGTGCTGTCCTTGATGCCTTTCCAACCTCTTTCCCTTCCTCTAATTGTTCCAGCTAGATGGGCAAAAAGCCCATATGCTGGGTGGAAGGAATGGGGCAGGCATGGGCCATCTCAGCTTCCCTCCTGCTCTGCACTGGATGCCTGCAAACCTCCAGGTTCAGGGGTTTATGGGCACTGTGGTAAGGAGCGTGCCTTCAGTGCTTTTAATTTCAACCCTCCTAAGTGTTTCAAGACAAATATTCCTGGCGTATTGAGACAGAATTTAACATGGGGTTATTTTTCTAAAGCTTTATTGCTTACTAAATACAAGTGGAATCAGCATGATAAATAAAATGACCCTCTGGGGCACCAGCATGATTCCCAGAGTGAGCTAAAATGCTCCTGTGCAGATTACTCTGCGCTAGTTAACTGACAAAGGAAAATTTATTTAAATGTGCTGGAAAAACCACAGCACTACTTAGCACCTGGGCCAGTGTGGGCCCACAGGAGGTGCCGCCACTCAGATTCTTTCTTTCGCCTTATTTGTAAAAAATAACACAAATGTGTTTTACTGTCAGGGCAACTGGCCAAGCATATCTTTGGTAACAGATGCTCATTTCATTATTTTTACTTTCCAAATGTATTATCCTCTTCTGTGCCAAAATGATGCTTATTCCCAAGCAAATGGTACCAGAAGCCAAACCTAATATATACCTGTAGGAAGGGTGAAGCTATGATTTAAGTGTGTTTTAAATGCAAAACTGGAAATGTTTCAAGTAAATCTTTTTTTTTAATTTAAATATCAGGAATGGAGAAGTGGTTGTGAACCATGGAATGGAAGATATGTACTTAAAAATGAAGTTATATATAGATGTCTAAAGGTCCCACTATCTCTTAAGACCTTTTTGTTCAGGGTTTAAAATTATTTAGCTGCACCAATGTTCATACATACATACATACAAACATACGTATACACACGCATGCGCGCGCACACACACACCTGTGTTTCCAGTTCTAGTGTTGCAGCCTTTAGATGTTGTGATAAATACCCCATAGTTCCTATTCAGACTAATGGCACACATCCTGACTCAATCCACTGGCTGCACACAGGGTAAATGAATGAAACAGAATACAATCTACAGAGGTAAGGCCAGGTTAAATCAGTTTATGAGATCAGTACACAGGCGGGAAAAGTACTTTTCTTCTGCAAATTGTGTTTCACTAACACTATAGCCATGAATGATTGAAACCAATATTTTCTATGGAGAATAACAGACAATCAAAACTGGATGCCCTACCTGGGTCAGTATTTTCCACGGGTTTATTACAAATGACCTCTGAAGGGCAAAACCCAATCTCTTCTAGCCATGGATGTAGCTCATAGTAAGCGTCAGCAACTTGCTGGAGGACATAGATGCAATACTCTGCGACTTCCTCTCCTTTGCTCTGGGCTAAATCCAGAATTTTGCGAACCTGGGAGAAGAAAATCACATGAAAGATGGGAGATCTGCTGAGGTAGCACATAGGACCATTCTCTGGAATGCTCTCAAGTTTGGTAGTCACAACTCTTCAGGCTCACCACCAGTTTTCACTTGCTGTGCTACAGCTGATCAGTGCTGGCAACAAGCGTCCTTTAAAATGTCATGGCAGATGCAGTTCATCTGGAGGAAGATGTTTCTTTGCTCCGTCTCCTGTCACTTAATGTCTAGCTGCAGCTTCTTCTCTAAGTCCAGCTTTGCCCTAACGTGGTGTCTTCCAGATGTGCAGGACAACTTCCATAAGCACTGGCTAGGATGACATATTTCAACACATCTGGAAGTTACCGAGTTAGCAAGTACTGCTGGAGACCCATATAAGTAAATAAGCACCAGATTTATTTATTTGCTATATATCTCACCTTTCCTCACAAGGCCTTCAGATCAGCTGACATGCCACATAAATCAGTACTAAGTATAAACACCATTAAAATAACTCTAAAATAACACGTTCATAATAAAATGCAATTCAGTGGTTACTAAAACAGATAAAACATTTTTGTTTCACCTCCCAAAGTCTGAACAAATAGAGATATCAGACAACTGAATGAAAAGAACATTAGCTAGCCAAGATCATTATTCTATGGAATGTTTTGCTTCTCTTATCTGTTAACACTTGAAAAGCAAGAGCTGCTTCAAGAATCGGTTTTGACAGATCCACATTCTGAATCCCTGATGCCTGACTCAGCACCTATTTACCTTGCTTATTCCATAGGTTTACGCGTTGTATGTATTACCCACCTAATCTCATGTATTGTACAAAAACTAAGAGTCTATGTACAAAGATGTGAATACTTCAGATGTCCACACGAACACATGAACAGCAGGGGTGGACAAGTGGCTGGGAGCAGGCCTATAGCCCAGCCCCATAGCCCCATTCTACACACTCCCCCCGCCGCCCCTTTATGGAAATAAAATGCAAAGGGACCTCTAGAACACAAGCAAATGTGAAAAATGGTTACACCCAGTAAATCTGGTTGAACTAATCTGCCACTCCAAAATAGAATACTTTCAGATGATTCATTTTTAACTTGACCAATAGGCCACAGATTGATCAACTGTTAAAGGGTATTTGTTTTATTATTTATAGATTATTTATTTATTTATTTATTTATTTAGGAAGCTTCTATGCTGCCCCATTCGCCGAAGCCTTGGGGTGGCTCACATCAATAATTAAATAATCACAATATAAAAACAACATAATTAGATTAGATTAGATTAGATTAGATTAAGGGCATAAGAACATTTCCACAGAAACAAAGGAAGCTACTCAGAATGGGGAGAATGTGTATTCTGAAGAATTCCTGAGTACACCAGTATCTCCGCTGACAACTGTGGAGGTCTGAAACTTCAGAAGCTGCTTAACTGGTTCATCAAGCAGATCTATCTGACCGCTGCAGAAAACGAACAATTATTAACCAGAGAAACCAACTCCATTTCAGCCTGGGAGAGAATTAAGTCCTCAGACTGGAGAAGGGAATCTGGTAGCTTCTTGTGCCCAAGCCTCCTGTCTTTTCCTTCAGTACAGGGAAGCAGGGAACAAATTCAGGGGTATGGATCCAGATTTAGTTACATTGAGAGCAGACCTACTGAAATCAATGGGACACAAGGTAGCATGATTCATTGAAGGCCTACAGATTTCAACAGGTCTGCTCTAAGTTTGATTAAATCTGCACTTAGCCCAAGGCATCCATCTTTCCAGACGTTTTCACTCTATACATCAGGACACTGATGGAAGGAAGCAATAATTCATGTGTGCCAAGGTGTAATGAATGCTTATGTGCTCTCTTGCTCTCTCTGACTGGTAAAATGAACGCAAGGTGAGCCAGGCCAAGCACCCATTAACTCGCCATCATGGAATTCCCCGTTACTTCTGGCAACCAGGCAAGCTGTTAAAGGCAATGCTGCATTAAAGACTCCTACTGGGATTATTCAAATGGGGATGCTTTATCTCCAGATGGCTCTTCCTTACAGAGTCAGAGCGCATAAACAGAGCTCTCGTCATGCCTTTTCGGACAGGTCCTGTCCCTTTGGTGGTTCCATGGACAACGGTGCAAGCACACTGTCCAGTAAGATCCACATCACCTCTAGGTAAAGACAAGAAAAAGCAACTGTGCATCATTTGCATGCACTGGATTGGAACAAGATAGGGCAGAATGTCTCCCAAGTCTCCTAACAGAATGTAGCTTCAGCTGGTTTGGGACCACGGTCCTTCATGTGAGGACACTTTCAGCTTCCCCACTTCCTGTTTTTTTCTCCCAAAATTCCCCCTACAGTGGTGGATTTAGGAAAAAAGCTTCACTGATGCCAATGGAATACCACAGAGGGGTGGTATTTTGGGGGTCTCAGTGCAAATTAGGGCTTGCAGGAGAGTAGGGGAAGTAGTCATTAGAACTTTTTGTCTGGCCCTGTGCCAGTGAGAGGAGAATTGTACGGGCAACTAAAATGAGGAAAAAAACAAGTATGAGGAGACGGGATAGAGGTGCACAGAATTAAGCACAGTGTGGAGAAAGATCTGGAGGTATAAGCCACCTCCAGATCAGAGGCAGTCTGCCTATGTACACCAGTTGCTCGGGAACTTGAGGGGGGGTACTTCTGTACTCGAGTCCTGCTTGTGGGCAGCTGATTGGCCACTGTGTGGACAGAATGTTGGATTAAATGGACCCTTGGTTTTTCCTGTGTTCTGTGGACTGGCGCCAACCAGCCAGCACAACCATCCTACAAGGAATAATTTATTTGCTTACTTCGTAGGGAACATGGGACAGAGCAACTTAGTATTTATTTACATAAGGATATATGAAATTTAAATCATAATTTCTCTGTTTGATTATTGCGTCTGTTTAACTCACAGCACAATCCTCTGCATGTTTACTCAGAACACAGTTCCATTAAATGCAATGGGTGTTACTCCAAGGTAAGTGTATATAGGATTGCAGTCTTATTTTTTTAAGCCATTAAGGACACATGGCTTAGGCATTTAAGAAGTCCTACAACTCCCAACATTCCCCAGCAAGCATGACTATCTGGGGAATGCTGGGAGCTGTGGAACTTCTTATTTTTTTGCCTAAACATGTTTTAGATTCATCCTTAGTTTTCAACATCATTTAGTAGCTGGAACAGAAGCAAATACCTTGTCTGCTTGCGTAGGATACTGGCTGGCAATCTCTGCATCTTCAGTTGAGAAATACTCGTTCTTTAGCAAGTTGTCAATCAAACACTGAGTATTCTGGACTCGGCCAACGAGCAGCTCTCTGTGGACTTTCAGCAAGTTAACAAAGGACGGCTGACTGGCTGCTGACTGCGCTTGTTGTATGAGCTCTGCATTACCAGCTGGCTGATCTTCCATTGTGATGGCAGTAAGAGGCTGGACCTTTCAAATGCATCTTTGGGACACTGCAGAAGTAGAAGAGGAGGCTCATGTCAGGCAGCCTCAAGCAAAGCCCATAATTACAACCTCTGAAGATAACATCCAGCCTTCCCCCGAGTGGCGCCCTGCAAATAGCTTTTAATCCTCCCTGCCAAAGATGTCACTTTCATTCCTTATTAAAATTATTGAGCTGACATACGTTTTACAGATAGACATTTAGAGATTCTCCAAATGATGCTTTCCAGCATGGGCCAAGAATCACCATACGTAAATGTGTGTGTTATTGACAGTTTGCTTTTGTTTAGAATTTTGGACTTTTTCTGGGTAGATGCTATAGCAGTTAATGAATGCAGTTTTAAAACTTGCATGTGAGAGAAGCATGTGGGAGAAATATCAACAACCTCAGATATGCAGATGATACCACTCTAATGACAGAAAGTGAAGAGGAACTAAAGAGGTTCTTGATGCGGGTGAAGGAGGAGAGTGCAAAAGTTGGCTTGAAACTCAACATTAAGAAAACTAAGATTGTGACATCCGGTCCTATCACTTCCTGGCAAATAGATGGCAAAGAAATGGAGGTAGTGACAGATTTTATTTTCCTGGGCTCCAAGATCACCACAGACGGGGACTGCAGCCAAGAAATTAAAAGACACTTGCTCCTTGGGAGGAAAGCTATGGCAAATCTAGACAGCATACTAAAAAGCAGAAACATCACCCTGTCAACAAAAGTGCATATACTCAAGGCTATGGTTTTCCCAGTTGCCATGTATGGCTGTGAAAGCTGGACCATAAGGAAGGCTGAGCACCGAAGGATTGAGGCCTTTGAATTGTGGTGCTGAAGAAGACTCCTGCGAGTCCCTTGGACCACAGGGCGATCAAACCAGTCAATCCCAGGGGAGATCAACCCTGACTGCTCTTTAGAAGGCCAGATACTGAAGATGAAACTCAAATACTTTGGCCACCTAATGAGAAGGAAGGATCCCCTGGAGAAGAGCCTAATGCTGGAAACAATAGATGGCAGAGGATGAGGTGGCTAGATGGAGCCACTGAAGCAGTTGGTGTGAGCTTAAGTGGACTCTGGGGGATGGTGGACGACAGGAAGGCCTGGAGGAATGTAGTCCATGGGGTCGCGATGGGTCGGACATGACTTCGTGACTAACAACAACAACAAAAGAGCATTTACAGTGGAACAACATGTGGGCATAACCACCTGTTATCTACATCTATTTCAATACCTATGTAAATCTAGCCACACCTATATTTCATTAAAAAAACAAGCACACACAAAACTTTGAGGCTCATGTCTGTGGAACTTTCTGCCACAGTATTTAATAAAATTCCCCATCAGAGCTCACCATTGGGAGTGCTGCCTTAGCTGCAAAACCTGTAACTCCTACCACCAAAATAAACCCTCAATGCCAAAAAGAAACTCAACAGCCTAGCACCACCATCAGAGGTAACCTTTCCAAATGACTAAAAGCTAAAATTGTTTACTATTTATGAAGGGGAATAGATGTTAGTCTTCCAATAAAAGGTTGAGATTAAAGTTCTTGAATTCATTATACTTGGTTGCACTGACTAATGGCTATCAGCATCTCTGGATGGAGAGCCATTCTGCAAGCAAAGCCCGTCTCTCAAGGAAGCTAGATACTGGATCCAGGCCACCCCAGTTTATACTCCTAACTTCACAATGTGATTTCAAACTTATAAGGGAATAACTATTGTATATTTTTCCATTTCCTCCCAGTTTCTGTTCCCCACCCCGCAAAAAGCAGGAAAATTCATGACCTTTGATAGGGATTCAACATTTCTGGAAAGGTTGCACTACTAGGCTGGCATTAGACTTTGCAAGGCAGCACAGCAGAGCGCCCCCTGGTGGCTCCCTGACAGATCAGGTGAGCTGGTTCCCCTTACAAGTATTTGCAGGACTAGTGGTGCTTGCAGGGATTAAGACCATTGCAAAAACCAGCTGGAAGCTACAATAGGTACTCTAAAGGGCTATTTACTCCTGGCCAGTTTTGCCACTTCAACAGGACCCTTCATGGTGGCTGCTGTGCATTATTAAACTGGCAGCTGCCTCCAGTCCTGCAACGTTTTTATCCGTGACTTCTGCCTGTTCCTTCCTTTTCCTCTGGAACTGCTGCATCCCACCAAGAGCTTCATCCACCATCATCACTCCTGGCCCTGGTGCTCCAAGCCATAGATGTCCACTGTTTATGTCCCAGAACTGACAGCAAGAATGAGGACCGTGTGGCCCTTCTGATGCTGTAGGACTACAACTCCCATAATTCCTGATCTGTGGGGTCTCAGGCCAACAGAAGTCCAACAGAAACTGGAGGTCACAAAAGGATGTAACAATGCTGGTCCCAGATCATACTTGGTGTTTCGGTCCTTCTTCAGCCACTTTTCATACGTCGCTTACCATAATGCATGGCTAAATTCAGTGGAGGGAGGAGAAGGAAAGCTCCACAGTTCAGCTTAGACAATTAAGGGGTAAGAAAGTAGCATTTTCAACATGCAAACACATCCCTCAAGATCAGTGCTTGCAATATCCTGGGGCGGCCAAACCAAGCCCTGTGAGCCACATACGGCTCTGAGTTAACTTTGTGGCTCTCAGAGGGCTTGGAGCCCGCCCCCTGGTTGCCCCCCCGTCTGGATCCCAGCAATGGCATGGGCATGATTGCAGCAAGCTCTTGCGAGGACACTGGCCCAACTTTCTCTCTCCCTAAGCCCGAGACCCATTCTTCTCCTAAATGTGTGTGTTGAAAAAACTGTGTTGTCATTTCAAAAGTTGAAATGATTTTGTGATCATTGCCTCATTCAAAAACAAAGAAGAAAATAGACACCTGTGCATGAATTCAGTGAACTCGGTGAACTCGATCAGTCAGCACTCTTAGCAGAAACAGCTGGAGAGCCATTTAATGGTTAATGGCCTAGTCTAGTAATGTTCACGTCATCATCTTAAGGCGCTAGGATGAGCAGGTCCCAACTGGCTTTTAGCCATACTAAAAGTCTGTGTGTTGCAAATGAAGGACCTGTGAAACAATTCACAAAAACTTTTCACCTGATTATCCACCTAAATAATTATAGCAATGTCTGATTATAATAAATAATAAATACATGTTTGTTCATGTCTTGCGGCTCTCAAACATCTGACATTTACCATATGTGGCTCTTCCGTTGAACAAGTCTGACCACCTCTGCAATACCCTGCAGAATTCACCCAGCAGGACAATAACCATCACGCTTACCCATAGCCAAAAGCACATGGTCTGGGGAAGCACTGGATGAATCAGCCCTGAAAAGTACTAAACATAGTCCATGGCTGCAGACAGAGCTTTCAGCACTAAGCACCAGCTAATGTTCTCGATACATAACCGACAAATATGCAGATTAGCATCCATACAATATATTTAAATAGCAACATGACTGCATGAAACTTATTTAGTTACCATTTAAACATGGTGTGCTACCTATAATCTAAGGACATGAGAAGAAGGCTTCTAAGAAAAAGATCAGGGCTGTTATCCATACTTCTGAAAAGCTTTTATCTGATTGCAAATTGCTTCTAGGAGTGCAATCCTATGACCTCTAGAAGGTGTCTAGACAGCCATAGAATAACTTGGAGTCCCAGTTCTGAACTTAATTGCCCTTCTCTGCACTTTTTGTAACTCAATAATGACCACAACGGTACACAATATTCTAAGTGCTGTCACGCCAAGGATTTGTTTACGGGGAGTACCATCTTGGCAGTTTTATTTTCAATTCCTTTCCTAATGGAGTTTGCTTTTCCACAGCAGCAGAATACTGGTCAACATTTTCCTCAAGCTATCCACCCCCCCCCCCACACACACTATTGGTTGCAACTAGCTCAGCAATCCCCCCTCCCTTTCAAACTGGAGAAGCAAATCACACCTCCTGGCTAACCCTTAATCAATCGCTTGGAGCATCTGATGCTTCTGAACCTGTCAGCCCTTTAAATCTGATGCTGCACCCTCAGATCAAGGATGGTAAGTCCACCACACAATTAGCATGCTCAATAAACTTTCCCACAGACTTTGAAACTGTCTGATTCTCAGCAAGTGCCTGACTTAGTTCTGGATCCACTGGCCTTGGTGTTCCCGCTGTGGATTTGAACCCATCCTCCTTGTCTGAGTCAGAGTCTCTATCCATAACCCTTGAAAGCTCTTTCATCAGAAGAATGGCCCTGATCCTTATTCCTCCCTCCACCCTCACATGGTTCCTTCTACAGCAACTGAAGCTCTGACCTCTAGGCTGATGTTGGGGATGGTCGGGAAGTGAAGACAGGAAGAAAGAGGCACTGCCATCCTACAAAGGATCCTTCTGCTGCCTCTTCCCCTCTCTTCATTTGCTGTAAAACACTTAGAGGGCTGAAATCAGTTGCCTTTGTGCTTGGCTGTTGCTGCTTTTTAAACAAATGATTCCTACAGATTCAGAAACTGAGAGCAACACACGGTTGCTCATTACTACTACCGCTTCTATTCTACAGGACTGCTGAGATCATTACAGTTACAAGGAAACCTGGCATCGCTATGAGGCAAGCGTATCAATATTTTTGACAAGAGGGATTAGGATAACTCGTTCTAAATGCAGTAATGAAAAATTACGGCCCAAATAGCTATTTTTTAAATGTAAAGCTCAATGCAGTACAATGTCCGGAACCATTACAGAGTATAATTATAATGTTATATAGTATAATTAAAGTATACAGCGGGACATGCACAAGATGTTGCAATGCAGAGTGAATGAGTTCACTCTTCCAGCCAGCCAGCCAGCCGTGTCCTCCCCATTCCATTCTCCCAACCAGGTTTCCACTTTCCCCCCTTCCCAAACAGTCCATCAACATTCTCTGGCCACTGATCGAACTTGGGTTTTCTTAAAATATTTTTGGTGTTCATTGTGTCCCAGAGCTTGCTCATACCTCCCTCTTCTGCATGGGAGGTACCATTTTGGCTATGCAACTACTGGCACTCATGCTGGAAAGTGGACTATTGAGAACCAAGTG